TTACAAGCTGAAGCTATTAGCATTTAGCAGCAAGGATATATCAACACAATTGCTGCTTGCTGATGGGCTTCGTCTCCCCCTGACCTGTGCTCACTGGAGAATTAATGGGATGGTATTTGACGTGACAGCAATGCACTCGTAATGTCTTGTAATCCCAAATGTCAGGGTCAAAACTCATGTCAGTCATTCCTCTGGTTTGTCTCTAACGTATCCAGCTGACATGGGTGCCTGAACTGCCTGGAAGGATGGAGGGAGGGAGGGAGGGAATCATTTGCAGCAAAGTGTTTAATGAGTGTCCACCACAGGACAGGGTTTATTTCTGGCTGTGTGGCACTGAGCTCAGCGTGTCATCACCTCCTGCCTCCCTGGACCACGTCTGCATGGTAGCCAACGTGACAGACACTCACTGTAGCTTCTCCCAGGGTGTCCAAAATGATCCGATTTAGGCTGACAGCTACAATACACAGCAATAAATATGTATTGTAACGATCCTGTCAGTCATGACTGGACTGGAGAAATGACTGCTACCCAAGTACTGAATTGGCAGAAAAGAATGGAAGTTGCATAAATGGATAAAATTGCCTGCTGTGAAAAATGCTGGCTGTTAAATCCTGGCCCCAATTAAGTGCTTTGGGGTGGGATTTTTTTTTTTGTTTTGGTTGTGAGAGGTTTTTTGCATGTCTGCATACTTGTGTCTAGATACAGTAGCCTGAAGGATGTCAGGATCAACCTGCCCAAGTCATTATCTGGCGAGCTAGAAAACTGCCCTGTTTATGGCTGGAGGAAGGCATTTCTCACAACATTTTCAAGACTCACTCCAGATCCAACGCCTGCGTGGTCCCCATTACTGCCTGCCCTGAGCTCCTCCCTCTCTGTGATGTACAAAGTGATCTGTGGCTCCATGTTCCCACTTTCCCTCAGACAATGCCACAATTTTCCCCTTATCTTCTTAAGTTCAACCCTTTTTGATTCTTTTAACTCAGAAGTGGTGGAAAAAGGGGTCTTTCTACCCTCCAGGATGTCAGTTGAAGAGTCTTGCTGCTGTCACTGACCAACGTGACTTGTCCTGGGAAAGCCAGTCCTGTGTTTTGTCACAGGTATCTGATGGCTTTGGGCATGGGATCCCTCCTCTCTCTCTACAGTTCCTACCCCGTGTTCAGGGGGATATTTGAATGTCCCCTGTAATTCCTGTCTTGGTTATCTTGCTACACAGCAGCAGGCAGGAGTTTCTGGTCTCTTTTGGAGTGCAGTAACCATTTGCAAAGAACAACACATGGTACACTGTCCTCTGAAGCAGGCAGAGCACTGCCAGCTCTAAAGGGCTGGAGGATCACAGGTGGCTTTTCCAAACATCAGGCTCCACTCTTCCTCTTGTGCATTGGGGTGGATGTGAAATGGCAGAGGCTTTCACTTAAACAACAAGTGAAACACAAAATGAGCATGTTCACGTCTGGCTGCAGAGTATCCGGAGCGCTTCTCTTGTTGATTTATGCCACAGGAAACGGAGAGGACCAGAGCAATAAGTCCCCTGATGCCCCCCACTTCCACGCTCTCCCAGAGCTCTTCCTG